TGTGTGTGTCTGTGTGTATGTGTCTGAAGGAGACCAGGTCAGAGCCAGGGGGTATGGTTCAGTGTTCCCACAGTGGTCTGTTTGTTAATGTTTCTATTAAAGCTACTGTGTCTTGGCTGCTTTTCCTCCTCCTGTTCTAGCTCAGACACACACTAAGTTTACACAGATTTTTACAGCTGCTGTTCCTCAATGAGTCTTAACTCAATTCCCAGGCCGAATAAATATTTTTGTTCTTCCATTACCTGCCTATAAGTCCCTTATTAAACATATTTTCAACAGTTCTATCCTTTTGACAACATTCAATACAACTTGAATGTCAGTAGACATTAATTCATACATTAGTTATAAATTACAAACTTAATGTGCACATTTTGTTCTAGACTGATTGCAGATTGATAGCATTTTAAAACCAGTTCGCTGTATTGTAATCCTTGTTGAACAACCACATGTTCCTGCAGGACTAATGCATTGAATACCTAATTTGTTTATTGTATAATACAATTACAATTACTTGGCAATAATAATAATTCTGATTCTGATGGAATATTAAAGGTCAGTAAGGTTGATTTTTAATTTGTCATGTTTTTCTTTTGTTTCTTTATTGAGGAATAGAGGTTTAACAGACATCTTTTAAGATCTTTTTCAAATATAGCCGTGCATACAAGTGTTTGTGCCTGTGCTTGCGCAGATGCAGCGCGCGTTAAACCATTAACATAAGCAGCAGAGCCAGCTGCATCCATAATATGAGCCCAAAGCTAATCTTCCATGCTAGAGTTGACAGGTGTTTGTGATTTGGAGACAGGGTGTTGAGGGGGAAACGGGGTGGGGCTGCAAGAGGCACAGGGGGTTAACTGAGGAAACAAAAACATAAATGGGTAAAGGAACATCCTGCCTGCATATCAACTCCTAACTTGCCAAATAAAGTTAGCTGTTGGAGGAAGGAGGAGATAAACGGGAGAGCATGAAAAGAAAAGTGCCTTTTCCCCTTATTGAGATGCACCCTGAGACTCCAAAGAGCTGTAATCAAATAGGCCATCAGATGTTCAGTGGAGCGGTTTCGTGCACACTCGCACAGAACAGCATCTCAGGAATGCAGTCGTTTTCCTTCAAAGCAGTGTGACACATTCTCCCTCTGTGGTTGGAGCCTGAAGGACTTGCACACACGCGCAAACTCACACAAACGGCAAATGTCAGGCTGCCCTATTTCGCTGTCACTTAAACAAATGAGGCAGGGGTGTAAGATAGCAGATGACAAGAGCCTACTATTGAGGGTTATAGATTGAGAAATTCAATTCTGTGTTTTGTACCACTTGGACAACCAGATGTAAAACTTTCTTCTTTCCTTCTCTAATGTTATCTGTTGAAGTCGTTTCTCCAGAATAAAGGAAGATGAGGGGTTTGAGCCTCAGGGGAAGATTTGCATATGTTTACCCCTGAAGTAGTCACAGGGTACTATCTTTCCTTCAGTTGTTTTCAATTGTCTTTCCCCTCTCTTGTTTGTCCTTGTGTGTTATGCGGAGTGTGATGTCCAGCACAAAACAAGAAAAGGAGAAAGAAAGACATTGTGTCCCCACCACCGCAGCTCAAACACACCAGACACAATAGGCTATTTTTACTAAAGAAAATGGGTTAGTGGGTTGATTGATGTCTTGAAATCAACATGTGAGTTGCTGGTTTTTCCAATTTGCCAACAAAAGCCTATTATACCTGATGGGGTGTTGTCTATGCTTTGTGTTAATGCTAACAATAGTTTTTCAAATGAAGAAGCCTCTATAACAAAACTCAACAAAATTGGAATAAAAATAATTGAAAAAGAAATCGGTCACTCACATTTTGAGAAATATAGACTCTATAACCTCTGAATAGTAAAGTACGACTGCTTTTAAATACGTTTATTTAGTCTTCAGTTCACTCTTAACTACTGCCTTCTTAAAAGGAAGTTTTTCTTGTCACTGTTGCCAAGAGCTTGCTCATGGTCTCTGTAAATAATTTTATAAGGAGTACAGTCTAGACCCTCTCTTTTTGAAAAGTATCCTGAAATAACGCTGTTATGATTTGGCGCTATTAAAAATAAATTGAATTACTGCAACTGCCTGAATAGCTTCACTAATCACGAACCTAACCTTCCAGTATTTCAGTTTCAGTGGCTTGACATTTTGTAAACTCTTTGGGGCTGCTTATGTGAAATGTAACTGTGCAACCATGTCAATAGGTTGGTACCATTAAAGGATTTAAGCATGCAAACTCTGAAATGCGAAACAGCCCTAAAGGGATTTTACACACTGACATGCACGCACACTGGGACCCACCCCCCCCCAAAAAAAATAAAAATAAAAATTGGCCGGCAATGATTTTCAAATGTATGGTTTAATCTTAATCATTTGACCAGAGACACACAAACATATTTTTCTTTCTTTTGATTTTGCTTCACATGAGTCTGTATCTTTCTCTACCTCCTGTCCTTCCTTCCTCTAGGTTACCTTCTCTGACTTCTTCCATTTTCTCTTTGTTTAACTCCCATCCTTCCTTGTCTCTTTTCCAGGGAGGAGAAGAGTGAGCAGCTTTTGGACACCAGGCAGGAGCTTGAGAACATTGAAGTGGAGCTCAAAAGGCTTCAGCAAGAGGTAACGCCACAAGACCCAGCAACCTCACACAACAACATACACACACAACACACAACACTCCCCTTCACTGCCCGCGGCTCCTCCTCCTTTCTAAGTTACTTTTGTTTCTGCAGGGTGTTGGGCCAGGCGTTTAATCACTAGCTAGTGACTTAGCTGCTATTAGAGCTATCTTTAGTCTAGCAACAGCCTCACATGGCTTTTGATTTGAAGTGGGCGATTGGCTGGCTGGATGCTGTGAACAAGGTGGTTGAGTTCAGGGGACGGAGGACAGTGTATGTGTGTGGATGCACGTTTGTCAAGGTTGATAGTAAGGAGGGTTTGTTCTGTTCTTTATCTGTTCATGTAACAGACATGATTTAAGATGTTAGTTAATCATAGGTAATTTACTAGTCATACAAGATCAGAGTCCTTGAAAATAATCTGTAATTTTTGATTCATGATTATCTGTTCACATGTGATAACCTCCACATATTCATGCCCTGTATTTGGCTGTCAATCCCTACAGAGCTACCAGTTGCTGTCGGACGCTCGCTCAGCTCGGGCCTACCGTGACGAGCTGGACGCACTGAGAGAGAAAGCAATCCGTGTCGACAAACTGGAGAGCGAGCTGAGTCGATACAAGGAGAGACTTCACGACATTGAGTTTTACAAAGCCAGAGTCGAGGTACACGACTGCCCGCACACAGAGCATTACTTCAAGCCGAGAAGAAAGTCTTTGTTAAAAATGACCTTGGGTACCTTAAGTGTCATCTAGCTCATAAACAATTCTTATTAGTATTGGTTCAAACTGGCCATGTTATTAACAGCACACAAACAACTTAAGTGACAATGTGTGAGATACAAGTAATAGGATTTTTTTTTTACTATAAATATTGATGTATTTGAGTAATGGGTAAGTATTTTCTCACCATGCATAGTATCTACACCATTTGAAATTGAGCTGTATATCCAACTGAATACATTATTTTAGATAACAGAAAGTTGTACCAAGTTTCTAGTGATGTATGTAGAACAGAGTTGCACTGTTTGGATGCAGTGTAGACGACGGCATGAATTAAAATTGTAGCTTATATAAATTATTTTAAAATGTATATAATAAGATATTTAAAGAAAAAAATATTGCCTTTACCCTTAAGCAAAATGTAAAGAATGAAAGTAAAAACACTAAAACCTGCATATATAGGTAATACAGCATTCACTATACACTAATATTTCTACATAGAGTTGCTGTATAATACTGTAACTATGCTCATTAATATTAATAAACATTTCCATCAAGACATTTCCAAAACATTATTTTGTACTAGCTTCAGTGTTTGTTTTGTTGTTTAACTT